AGTTAACTCCATCCCCACCTGACCCAGTTTGGTGTGATGACAGCCATTCTTGATGGTGTCTGAGATCTTGCTAGGAATAAATTAATCCTTTGTATTGAAGATGACACTTTTTAAGTGCCCGTTTAGACCTGACACAAAAAATACCTGTATTACATACAAGCAACTTCTCTTCAGGTGTTCTGTTGCTTGTCATAATTCAATGAGATGCAACACCAGAAATTTTTCCAAAACCCTCTTGATGTCCTTTGGGTTACCCCGGTGCATGCCACCTTTGGGCATTGGTCTCAGAGATCTTCCACACACTCTTCTGGTTTTACTGTTAAAGTAACTGATGGAGGAAACCCAGAAAGTCTTTAAAGTACAGATATTTGGGTTCAGGAACTTAATAATTCCTCAAGCAGCAAAACGGTGCAATTACTGCTACCGAAAGTGGCCCTACTGGTTCCTTGGTTTCTGCCCTGTGCCACTACACCTTTTATGCTGGTGTGATTAATTTGTGCAGTGTATGGTGAACCACGTAAAGGAGCTGATAAATTTCAGACTTAACCAGTACTATTCACCAGAGCAATCATACCACACGTTTTTTCTCCATGAGGTATACAGATACAGCAAGTTTGTTAAAATTATAGATTTGCAATACTGGAAGGCACTTTTAAAAGCTCATGAATAATAAACCAGCTAGGCTATCTCCTGTGGAAAGGCATGTCTGTCTTCTGCCTGGCGCTTATCTAATGTGTTTGGAGGATGCCTTTGTAGATCCTGCAGTCTACTACGCAAGCACTTTTCAGGTGTTCATAGACTTCCAGGGCAGACTGAATGGTCATGTGCAGCTGGTATTTTCTGAAACTTCTGACTCCCCTCACATGAGCTCTGCCTTCTCTTGTTACTGTGCAGCTGGTCATCTGCAAGCAGCCCTCCCCCTGCCAAATTCTGTTTAAGTTTTGTAACTGTTACAGCATCTCCAAGGTAGGTACAGTCTGGGAATTTATGGGTGGTCTCTACACGGTCATTTAGGCTATTATTAAATAGTATAGGAGGGAGGGTAGATGCTTGTGGTGCTCCTCCCTGCACCCTTCCATTTAAGTGAATCTCTCTGTCCAACTCTATTAGTTTCATCTGGGCTTGGTTTCCTTATCTGCCTTGCGAGACTGTTATGAGAGACTGTGCCAAATGCTTCACTACCATCAAGATGAATGACATGTATTGTTTTGCCTTGGTCCACCGGACTGTCATAAGAGGAAATGAGATTTGCTTGACTCGATTTGTTCTCAGCAAATCCATCTTGACTGATTAATCACCTGTTATCTTCTAGGTCTTTACAAATAATTTCAGTACTTCTGTTTTCTCAAATGAAATTAGACTGGTCCATAATTCTTCAGCCTTTCCTCCTCCCCAGTATCTTCTTGAAAATCGACATAATTTTGGCCTTTTCCCAGTCTTTTGTCACTTGTCTGTCCCTCGAGTTCTTAAAATAGTTACTGATGGCAGCTTTAATGAGCCTACTCTGCAAGTGTGGCTTCTGTGCCAAGTCATTTGCTGTGATCAGACTTATCCCAAGAATTCTCCAACATTGTTTTATCTTGTTAAAAGTGTCACAGGTGATTCTTTTAGCAAAGAATGATTTAAACAAACAAACAAAAAGCATTAAATACTTAGATAATTTGAAGTTTTTTCTGTTTTGTCCTTTCCTTCTGCTCAGTAGTGGTCTAATACTTCAATTCTTCTGGCTGCTGGAAAAAATTGCTTCTGATGCCCCATACTAATTGCTTTGAATTTTGTTCCACAGCCTTTGTCTATGCATTAATGTGTTATGCTGCCTGTATTTAGCAACTTGGTCCTAGTTTTCATCTGTAAGCGACTTCTTTGAATTGAAGGTAATAGCAAACCAATGACTTATGATCCTACTAGAGACTGCACTTCCTCTACAGTGAGAGAGTTTCCTGATGAAACTATTTTTTCCTGAAGCAAGGAAAGAATTGTCTTTCTGCACTAGGTTTCCTCCCCTTGGGTGTCGTAATAACTGAATTTGCTGAAGTCCTCTTTTCTGAAATTTTCAGTTTCTGTTTTCTTCTCTGACTCTTTTTTTTGGCTGAAGATTGTTACTTCATTTTATGTTTATTCTTCACGCAGTCCACCTTTTGCATAAAATGTTCAACCAGTTCCTCTCTGTTGGCTCAAATAAAATCTACCAGAGCCTTTCCTTTCATTGTTTTCTTCCAATTCCTGGATCAAAATTTAACATTTGTATTCCCAGATCTTCCTAGCCCGTCCATCATTTGGTAGGTGTCCTTTCACAACACCTGTTGGTTGTTTAAAACCCCCTTAGTGCTATTACAGCTTGGGATGATTTTGCTGGCTGCTTGAAAACCTGTGCTTCCCGTATCTTCATGACTCAAAAATTAGGCCTATGGTCTCATCACAGATTTTCCAGCAGATCTACCTGACTCAGAGAAATGGACTTCCGACTTGGTGGGTGTATCTTTGATAATCTGGGAGCAGATTGTACATCTTCCTTTCCTTGTTGTAAGAAGCTCCTTTGGCTAGTCCACTTGTAAAACAAGGTGAAACTTTGTGAAATAATTGACCAAATAAATGATTATTTGGGTAGGTATCGAGTCTTCTGTTTTCTGCTTGTGTCAACATCTCTTGCATTAATAATAAGGGTATCTGTTCTCCTCCTTCCCTTTTTGACCTTGCATTGAATAACATTCTGTTCGGTTTTGGATCCTTGTGGAGTCCACCTTTCTTCACACTTTTTTTGATACTTTCTCATAGCTTCATTTCTTTCCCCATTCTGCCATGCTGTGCCTTCAAAGTTCTCCTTCCCACCGGAGCACACCTGCAGCCAAAGACCTGGTGGTGATCTGGGAGAGCCAGAGGTAAATTCAGATTATTTCTTGGTGTATACTAGCTACTCTGCACTGTGGATTTTATCCTCCTGTTAAAATCAAATGGAAGGTCTTAAGGTTGCTAGTAAGTGTCATCAAACTCGGGTAAATGTTGCCAATAGTTTTAAGGGAAACTATGCTGGAATGGACAGTCAGTATCTCTAAAGGGGGAAAATGAATCAAACATTGAAAACACGTGACAGACTTGCTTTGGGCTTAGAGTTACCTTTCCACTTGAGCATTCTGCACTTTTGAAGCTTAAAAAGTGCATAGTTTAGGAGTTCAGACAACCGTGACTCACAGGAGGAGGGGAAAACATAACCTAAAGAAGATCTTGGAGTTTCTGGTTTCTGATTATAGGCAAAAAGATGCCTTTTAGAAATAAAAGTAAGCTTGTCTCTGTGTGCTAGGCAGCTACCTTTATTTCTATCAACTCCATCTCCCAAAGTGAAATAAGATTGCTGTGTGGCACCCTGACATATGTTCTAAACCAGGTATTTTTGAATAGCTGCTTCAATGAACTTCCAGGTTTTTGGCCAGGGGTTTTAAATGTTCGCTTGTGTTAACGAACCCGGCACCGCGAACTATAGTTGAACTCCAAACAAAATCTGTGGTTTAGCAGTAATCCCAGAGCCATATACCAGCTCTGTTGTACTGTAGCTGGAACAAAGAAGAAATAAACATTTTCAGTCCATAAACGCGTGTCCTTTAATCTGGCACCGATAGGGGGAAGTCCACCTACAAAACACAAGATGCAAAAGAAGAACTCCCTCTCCAGGGAGAAGGGGACTCTGTGGGATTCAGGGGCAGGCAGCATGGTTACGATACTTGAATCGTTTGAGTCTTCCCTGCCTGTTACACAGTACCTGCCGACATAACCTACCTCTGGTTTGCATTCATGAGTCATCCTGAAGAGGCTACGAGGGACAGAAAACCTTTGCCGTGCTCTGGTTACCTCAGAGCGCTGTGATAGATAGCAAGGCTACTGGGTAGTAGGGTCACTGATTTGTGTGATGTCCCAGCTACAGAGCTAGCATCTAACAGTAGATAAAATCGTGCTCTGTCATGCCGATAGGAGAAAAGCCTGCTCAGCAGAGCTTGGTTTCGTCGCTGGAGCATTTGGAGAGTGCTAAGCGATCTCACTCGTAAACTGTTCAGCTGCAGGAACTGTGTCTAGGTCTCAGGCGTAGCAGGTAGGAATGTAAAAGTCCAAAGGCTCCAACTTGCTTTCCCATTATTAAAAATAATGAATAAACAAAACAGAGAATCTCTCTTGATAACTTAGGACATGAGACTGAACTATCAATGTAGACAAGCTTTCCCCCAACTGGCAAAATGAAGTAAAACTTTGTGGGTTAGCGTAACGAAAATGATTGATTGGCACTACAGGAGCAGAGAGAGGAACCAAATATTATTACCATCTTACTGTCAAGCAGAAGAAAGGATCCTTATTACATTTTACACATGGGAAACTTTGGAAAAGCAAGGCTAAAAGGGTTTGCTTCAGGCCTCCCATGAGTTCTGAGGCAGCTGTGAACCCACTCCAGTCCTGAACATCAAGCATTACCATCCGTTTTAAGAAGGGTGTCACCTGACTAACAACGGCCAGACTGGAAGCTTGTGCTGTTTTTTGTTGTGATAAATGGTGAGATTCCACGATACTCCACAGGAGCTATGAAATGGTCTCAAATCTTCCGTTGTGCTTCTGTGTTGGTCTCTTTTTAAGAGCAAAACCCGAATTCCCTGACGGTGCAGATACGTAAATGCTCGTTACATGATGCGGAGCCCAGCAAGGCACTGAGGTTGTGAAGGGAGGCAGCCTGCAGCTGAGTTAGGTGTGACATGAAGCTCAGGACTGTGAGTGACACCTCCTGCTGCTTGCCTTGCGCAGCTCCCTGCTCAGTGTCTCGGCTTCAGCGGATCTGGTTTTAACTTTTCCCTATCAATCTGGGTGATCTGCGTGTATACCAAGTTACGGCCACGGGATGCCAGCCGCCACTTTTAGTGAGGCTGCCCCTGTTTGGGGAGGCTGCAGGGCAAGCTTCGGTGCTTTCCTAGGGGAAGCGGTGACCATTTCCCCCGCCTGGTGCATTGGAACAGAGAAAACTGTGTATGTCTTTGAAGGAAACTTACCGAAATAGTGCTCCCGATCCAGATGTGCTGTTCAGTCCTACACTCCGTAAGGTAACTAAGTAGGTATTCCAAGTAGGTCATGGAAAAGTTTTAGAAAATGGGAGAAGCAGGGAGGAAAATAATAGGCTGAGCAAGTTACAGTGGCAGGCGACAAAATGAGTGTTTAACCACAGAATGTTAGCGTAAGGGAAAATAAAAATCCTAAAACAATTTCACAAGTAGATTTGAGAGACTGAGACAGTACCTTAATGCTGCAGTCAAATTATTGTTTCAGCAGTTTCCTGCTGCTCGCTTAAAATTTCTGAGCGAACGTTAGTCTGAAATTAAGTAGTAAACAAATTTTTTTTAAAAAAGTGACTTTGTGCCAGAGACACGAGTGAAGCTGTCAGAGACGAGTTGTCAGTTCAGTGTTCAACGAGTGTCACTTGTTTCAGAGACAAGTGAAATAGTCATATACATGTAACTATAAAAGACCTCCAGGATCATGTACAGGTTTGTTTTACCTTCACGGGTGATTAATTGCTTTATCGATGTTGTGGTTACAAGAGAGACTTACGATCGGAGTCTGGGCCTTACAGAGCTCAGGCAGAAACCACAGCCATTGCTCTCTCCAGTTAAGTGTTCTCTGTCGGTGGAAGCGCTCTTTGCATGTCACCAATCACCCTTCAATGTATGTTAAGTCTCTCATTACAAGATAGAATCCCTATCCCTAATACATCCCGTCTCTGAACCAGCCCGTGTTTTTCAAAGCAGTACTCTGTAAAAGGGGGAAGAAATGAGTTTTTACATCAGTGCATTTCTCACATCAAACTCTCAGTGCAACTCTTCTGTGTAGACATTCAGCCCCTACTTTTCTTTGGCGTGCTCTCCCGGTGTCCCCGCCGGGCCCTGTCCCGACATCGCTGGGCCTGTTCCTCCCCAGAGCC